AGAAGACGACCCTGGACATGGAAAGCAATGGGAAGTCAGGACCCTAAGTTCCATTCCTCGTCTGGTAATAGATTTTGGAGGAACACTTTCCAAACCTGTCTCTCAATCTGTTAAGAGTCATATCTGGCTTCTCAAATGATGCCAGACACTCTCCTGAACTCCAAACCCATCTATCCCATTCATTTCTGGATGCTACTCCCTAGATGACGTACCTTAGAGATACCCCAAAATGCTGGGTACCTCTAATCTGCCCCAAGCCAGACTCGTGCATGCTCTAAGCCCACCCAAACGCAGTCCCCTTTCTGTATTCCCAGTTTCTAGGAAAGGGACATCATCTATCCAACTCTGAAACCGGGGAGTCGTCTCTGCCCCCTTCTTCCTTCAGCCTCCCTCAGGCAACCTATTAAAAGTGCACCTGATTTTTACCACCGAAATCACTCACCTTTCTACTTCTCTCCACGTCTGCCACCATCACACAATCTAAGGAACTGTCCTCTTTCGGCTACATTAGCCCTCTGACTGCTAAAGCCCCAGATCTACTAAAGAGACCCCTCTGATTCATTCTGCACAGAGAGGCCAAAGTGACCTGCACAGTTCCCATCAGATGTCTATCTCCACTCCTTCCAGCAAAACAGCTGGACTCACAACGCTCTGGGGCAAGGGAGGAACTCCCCAAATGCCCTCTGGACCCAGGTCTGGCTGGCTGAGTGGCAGGGTGACCCTGAGACCAAAACGGACCAGGCAGTTCTGGGAGTCGCTGCGAAGCCCAGAGCCTCGGCCCCTTCCTAGGTGTCTTCCCCCCTCAAGTTCGGGCTCGGAATTGGCTCAGCCTTGCCAGGACTGACCCTCCCCCAGTGCTGACTTCATCTGACTACGGATGGGAAGGGAGCCGGCAGCCAGGCCCGGGAAAACCCAGCTAGGCTGCAGCCAGGGCGTGTGTATTTCAGGAATGAGAGAGAGAGCAAGGGCAGCACCACAATAGACTGTCAGTGTCTGTGGGGCCGGCTGAGAGAAGGCAGCTGTCAGGAGGATAAAACTCAAGAAGTCTATCTCTCCTCTCTTATCACACTGACCCTTGGCAGCCTGCAGCCTGCTGAGAACAGTCATTAACAAGGCCTCCCACACTTCCCGCAAGCACAGTGCTGGGTGACCAGCCCAGCCCAAGGCGGAAAGCCTACACTTTCCTCCCTGCCACGGTGGGTCTCAGGGCCCATCTCTGGGCCAGACTTCCCCATCCTGCCCCTCCTTACTGGGCAACGATCCAAGAAACCTTTCGCTCTGCCCAAACTGATCTCGAGGTCTCCAGGTTTCCCTGGCCTTTCGGTCCAGGCCTTTGCAACCTGGTACGTGCTGCCTTTTCCTCGTGGCCTTCCTTCTTTCCTCTCCTATGAAACCCTACCCCATCTCCTTCCAGGCAGTTCTCAACTCCTGCCAAGTAGGTGTTTGTGCTGCTGATCAGGCCCCTCCTGTGATTAGCCTGGAATCCCACCTCCCACCCTTGGCTTTGGGAAAAAACCTGGCTAGAGCAGAGCCCAGATTAGGGGG